TTACACCGGCTAAAGCACAATTCACCATTTAACATGACTAATGTAATTTGCCGTTTTAAGTTAATATATTGACGATTTAAATATTTATGTTTTTCTTTTCATATTTCACATATAATAAATTGCAAGCAATTTCGTTTATGAATAATTCATAATCCAAATAAACAAAACACAGCTTAAACAATGCAAACATTTCTGAAATATCATGATATTTCACACCATCCCGGGCAATTTTACAACAATTTGATAAAATGTAAGTCAATTATTTACAATGATATCTAGCGGTTTCAATATTATATTTTCTGAAATGCATCAAGTCAACTGAAACTTGCTTAAATGACATTATAGAATTTCTCTCCCGCCTATTATTCTTTTAATTATAAAACAAAAAATGAGTTTGTCATTAAAATCATAATACGAGGAAAAAAAATATTCCATTGAAATGACGTTTTTATAAGAAGTCCAAATCCATTTTTTAATTTAGTGCTTTAAAACATATAAAAGTTCGCATTTTCTTCTCGTGACTTTTTTGTATGTTTTTACTGTATGCAAAATAATTATCGAATAGGTAGAGAACAGACTACGAAGGAGTTATGTGTATATAGTCTATAGAATAGAAAATGAGCTTTAAACAATATCATCTCATTTAGCGTCGAGCTTGAATGTCTTTAATTTATAAGTACCGTAACATTGCCACGATGATATACAACGTTCAAGAACATGTACAACAAAATGTAACTGGAAGTGTTTGCTGACATTTATATTTATTCACATTTACAAATCTTAAATACCTTGTTATATGAAATAAAGAAAAATCGAATCCCTAAGCAAGGACCAAACGGCAAAATTGAAAATGTTGCGAACAGGTTTAATTGAGCCTGTTTATGGACAGCAGTGGTAATTGCAGGCTACCGCCCATGCGCCCTTGCACCGGCTAAAGCACAATTCACCATTTAACATGACATGTTATTTGACGAGTTTAAGTTATTATATTGACGATTTAAATATTTATGTTTTTCTTTTCATATTTCACATGTAATAATTTGCAAGCAATTTCGTTTATGAATCATTCATTATCCAGATAAACAACACACAACTTTAACAATTCAAACATTTCTGAAATATCATGATATTTCACACCATCCCGGGCAATTTTACAACAATTTGATAAAATGTAAGTCAATTATTTACAATGATATCTAGCGGTTTCAATATTATATTTTCTGAAATGCATCAAGTCTACTGAAACTTGCTTAAATGACATTATAGAATTTCTCTCCCGCCTATTATTCTTTTAATTATAAAACAAAAAATGAGTTTGTCATTAAAATCATAATACGAGGAAAAAAATATTCCATTGAAATGCCGTTTTTATAAGAGGGTCCGAATCCATTTTTTAAATTAGTGCTATAAAACATATAAAAGTTCGCATTTTCTTCTCGTAACTTTTTTGTATGTTTTTACTGTATGCAAAATAATTATCGAATAGGTAGAGAACAGACTACGAAGGAGTTATGTGTATATAGTCTATAGTATAGAAAATGAGCTTTAAACAATATCATCTCATTTAGCGTCGAGCTTGAATGTATTTAATTTATAAGTACCGTAACATTGCCACGATGATATACAACGTTCAAGAACATATACAACAAAATGTAACTGGAAGTGTTTGCTTACATTTATATTTATTTACATTTACGAATCTTTAATACCTTGTTACATGAAAAATCGAATCCCTAAGCAAGGATCAAACGGCAAAATTGAAAATGTTGCGGATTCGGTTTAATTGGGCCTGTTTATGGACAGTAGTGCAGGCTACCGCCCATGCGCCCTTGCACCGGCTAAATTCACTATTTAACATGACATGTTATTTGACGAGTTTAAGTTATTATATTGACGATTTAAATATTTATGTTTTTCTTTTCATATTTCACATACAATAATTTGCAAGCAAATTCGTTTATGACTAATTCATAATCCAAATAAACAACTCACGCTTAAACAATGCAAACATTTCTGAAATATCATGATATTTCACACCATCCCGGACAACAATTCGATAAAATGTAAGTCAATTATTTACAATGATATTTAGCGGTTTTAATATTATATTTTCTGAAATGCATCAAGCCAACTGAAACTTGCTGAATTTCTCTCCCGCCTATTATTCTTTTAATTATAAAACAACAAATGAGTTTGTCATTTAAATCTGCGATACTTTAATTTTATGCCGGTCACGTAACAAATATTGATTATCATTTTGAAATTAAAATAGGACACAATTAAAGAAGCAAAAGCTCTAAAATAGGGAATATAAACACTTCTTAAACAGAAAAAAACTATTATTATAAGGTGGTTAATTACACCTTTCTGTAATTCGAAAACACAAAGATGACTGATAAAGAAAAGATATATTTCTTTTAAAAGTTTGCATATTTGATTTGCTTATGTTTTTGTAAATTATACAAACTAATTGTTATTGTTAATAAATTTAAATAAATTTAAAATTGCAGTTGTGTGACAAACAAAATGTTGTATCTTTGAGTGTTCAATTACTTGCCTGTCACAAACGCAAAAGAAAACGACTATGGTTGTCAAGGTGAGCACAAATGTTTACATATCGCCCTTATAACCGGGTTATACATTTAACCAATCGTACGAGCGTACAACAAAGTACTCTTAGATTTTGAAGATTAACTTTGTTTTCTTATGACAAGATTTGACATTTAGTCCAAATTTTTGTTGTAGTCGACAAGATTACAAAATTTATATCTAATTAAAAAGTAATTATTTTCCGCTACGACCGTACCATATACATTAAGATAGCATGCAACTAAGAAAAGAAAACACAGGTCTGTACGACAAAATTAAAATCAAAATGTCATATGTCGTCATAATAAAACCAAGGTAATATATAAAATGATTCTTAAACTTCTTTGGCTTTTGGTCTTATACATGATACTTACCTCGGTTGCCGGTTATTAAATTGTCTAACTGCCTAAAATCATACCGAACTAACGAGACACCCAAAGAAACGACATAGTAGAAAAGAACCATTAAAATGATAAATATTGGGAATATTCAAATTTGTATCTTCAAAGCCATGATTGCAATGGTTAAATTTTCAACCAAATTTTATTATCTTTAAGCTCAATAAGCCAAATAAACACGCTTATTACTATGGACAAAAAGTGTATACTCATTTATAAAATTATCTGTGTTACCATTTCCTTGTAACTGTTGGTTTGCTACATTGTTAACATTCAAGGTTGCCCTGAATAAGTTCTTGTTATGTTAGGAGAGGCCATTTCATGTTCGCTGCTTCACTTGACATTGTCAAATATCTTTTAAAATGTTCTTCAAATAATTACTCAGTATCATCAATTTTCATTATGCAAACAATGTCAATTACTTTTATTCTACGGCTTTGTCGATTGTATTCTTTCATAAATGACTTGGCGGGAGTAGTTTTGATGTATTAAATTGTTTCGGGTCTGTGAAATATTCAAGTGCCCATTGGTTTTATACCGTACTTTCACATAAAGTCAACGGTAAAATTTTACAGCAAAACTTTCTGCTCTCTCTGGACGTAAATTTACTTCTTTTTATTTATTTTCACCAACAAACGACAAAAACTTTTATTTATTAATATTACTATAGGTTGCCCAATGACTTGGTCATCATTATTCCAGTGCTTAATTTATTCATCTTGTATGCAAACATTTACTCGCGTGCTTATTTTTATAAATATTGTATGCAAACATATATATCTGGCTGATGTATAAAACGTCTGTATTTCTCAAGCATGAAAGCATGTATCAGATGTACAACGCTATTGTGTCTTTTGTATCGCAAATTAAACCGACAGACGAATAAGATTGCCGATAAAAGATAATTTCTTCACACGCAACGAATAGCATACAATATTTATTGTTATATATACAAAGAAACCATACAGCGACGCATGTTGCGATTTATTTTATAAAAATATATGCAAAACAACCGTATTGCTCTGCGATTATGACGGATTATTTTTATTACCTTTAGACTTTGCTAAGTTTTTTTTCTTTGTTTTATATACATTTCAAATGCATATGCCGTATTTAAACAAATGGACGTATTTTGTAAAATATTGTATTTCTAGATTTATATTAACATAGTCAAATTTGCAATTATAGCTATCAAATTTTACGCCATCCATAATCATTATCTCTTTTGGAATCAACTTATATCATTCTACTAATGTTTGTACATGTCGATAACATCACTGCTAATGCGCATTACTTTCAGCCACAGATTGTAAACCAATCTGTTATCGTTTTATAATTAATGGGATTATTGATTCTATTCACATTTTATTCCACCGCCAATTAAATCATATCGCAATATATTTTAGATTACCACAGATGATCTTTGTGATCAATTATCACATATACTCGTATATGATTGAAAGAAGGAATTCTTTTTATTTAAACGTCTTTTAAAAGAATGATCCAGTGAAAGTAATGTAAACTAAAATACAAAATGTCACTTGCTTAAGCCAGTTCATAAGAAATTATGGTGAATGCAACACTCTTATGCCCTTGACATTGGCTTAAGCGGTATTCAGTCCTCAATAATTTGATAGTCAATGTGACAAAAGGAACAGAAAAATATACAACAAAAAATGCGATAACAAAATGTCTTATTGTGGCGGCTACCTTTATGGTACACCCCTATATGAAACTTTATCAGAAGTTTTGTTTTATAATCTAAGATTAGTCGGATATGCCGGTTAATTCGAAATTTGTGTAATTCATAATTCTAGCACTCGAAATATTTTCGAAACTGACAATTTCAAATGAAAACATTTAAAAACGGAAGTTTAAGTGTTATTTGGATTGAAAAGGATAATGGATAAATAATGATTTTCACAATATAAGCATAGTGGACACTTCCTGGTGTAGAGGGGCACGTTTCATGATTTGTATTAGTATCTATAAAGGAAAAAAGAAATCTTATAAGAAGTAATAAAATTTAATAGAAATTGTTAAGAATAAATTGAAGCCACCTTAATATAGATCATAAGTCAATTATAATTATAAACAATAAACATTTTATATAACGTTTAAATAAACACATATATTTAAACATTAGAATAATCCACTTTATCAGATCGTTTTACAAGACCAATGAATTTTGCAGAACTATTTGCAATTTCTTTTCCTCTTTGTTGCATAAGGTCAAAGCACATTGCTAAAGTAGAAAGACCTATTAACAAATACAAAGAACATGCAATTTGTTTTACTTGATTGTCCCAATCTTTATCTGTAAACCCTGGTACAAAATCACCAAATCCTATAGTGCTCAACGTTATAAAACAAAAATATGCACTCTCAAAATGTGTCCATTTATCTTCCCAGAATTGAAACATTATGGCGCCAAAGAGGATATACAAGGTCACTAAGATCAAGCTTATGTATATTGGAATTTCTGCGTGTTTGTTATGCACAACCACTTCTGTATTAGAATCACAGTCTTGACCTTGACCTACTTTTTGCAATTCGATTTCGTCTGCTGTGTACATGCTAAATCGACGTGTCTTTATTGAATTAAAGAACTGTTGTCGACAATCTACACAGAAGGTCCCACCATAAACAGCGCGACAAAATGACGCCATTCCTCTTCCAATGTTGGTTATACATAGTACGGTCAACGGTATTCCGATTAATGCATATAGAATGGTAATAGCTCTTCCAGATGTCGTTTTTGGTGTAATGTTTCCATATCCTGGAAAATAATTGAAAATTATTTAGAGGATGTGCCTTCAAAACAGTTTTATATATACCTAAATCCATTCTGTAAAGTAAATGTTTTCAATAGTTTATGTTACATGATTTCATGTCACGGGCTGTTCAACAACTAGAACTCATCTTTAGTTGTACTTATCCTTCACTCCGCATCGGGTACTTCGGAATGAACATGTCTTTCTTCAGGTTCTTATTCAAAATTATTCAAACTTGGTTAAATAATGGCAGGTATATATAAATTATTTATAAATTGTAAATATGGTTTTGTTTAAACAAATAGGGATATTAATAAATTCATTAATAGGGGGAGATCATTTGAAATATAAATATTATTATAAATTATTTAATTATAACAAATTTTTCTTGGCCCCCACCTCTCCAAAAAAAAAAATAAACAATATAGAATAAAATAAAAAAAACCCCAAAAAATGCAAAGAAAAATTAACTCAAACACAAAAGAAATTCGTTTCAAAAGCCATTTGTTTAAAACAGAATTATATATTTCGAAGGACTTGCGCCATAAAGTTTAATATTTATGACGAAATTTAAATGCAAATTGCATTTATATGCTATCCATTTTAGTATTCTATGTCACTGCTACATGTCATGACAATTGTAGTAGGATCAGCTAAGTGTAAATAATGCAAATTTATCCCTCGGGGAAAACTTTCATTACGATTGTCTTCATTATTTATAAACATTGCATGGCACTTGAAGTTTCTTTTTCATACAGGACATTTCAACAGCAATAACTGCTAACAAATCATATAAGTTTTACCAAACATGTTTTATATAACAAAAGCATTTGATTTATATTTAAATGTTTCTCAAGTGATGATTTACGTACTACTCACAGTTTATAAGGTAACTCTGATAAAACTGATTAAAACTCATTTTTTTGTTTTTGAATGTATAATGATATAAATAAATCTGAATAATTATTAAGTTGGAACAATATTTTTAAATATTTTTCCTGCAAATTGTCATTTATCTTTGAAAATAATACATCTTTGCTGTACTGTATATGTATGAAACCAAATATTATATCAAATTTCGATTATTACTTTAGATTGTAACAGAAGCAGTTGTTAAATAAAAAAATACGATCAGTGAGAAAATTCTGACACTGCCAATAAAATCACCCCATCCAATATTTCCTTCAACATTACTTAATCGAAGTCAACGGCAAAGCATAGACGTCAATAAGAATCGCATTGAGACATTAAGCATATATTTTTATTTCTTATCTTTACATTGTGAACAAAATAAACCTACATTGGAAACACTTTATTAAATTCAAATATATCTTAAACACTTAAATTAACACTTTGCTCATTTTTTCATTGTCAGATTTAGCTGAATTGGACGGCACCTTGCACTTTCCAGTACCGTCCATGAACAGGCTCAATCAAACCGAGCCTGCAACATTTTTAATTTTATTGTGTTGGACTTTCTTTAGGGATTCTGTTTTTCTCTATTTTATTTGACTATAAAAATCAAAGGATTGACTGTTAAAATGCCGATTGACCACTAGTTGATATTGTAAACTTTCTATGATAAAATATATATCTGGTTTAAATATGAAAGACTTTCCCACTCTTTTTAAAAACTGAACGTTACAGATGAATTCCAATGGATTTTTACAGAAATTTTCTTAAACACTGTGAGTTATTTACCAGTAAATTATTAAATGGGAATGAATTGTGGCAAAATGAAAGCTTATTTTGACTTTCACCTGTTCAGGCAATATATAATTGGATAGGCACAATGTCTCTTTAAGTTTGTGTTATATTAGGATGGCAACGAATACTCCTATACAGAAAGAAAATCATACAAAAGAAACAACACAGAATCGGCCAACATTTTTATGATGTCTAAATTCCTTGTATTGTCTTCTGGTACAATTTATCTCAACTGTATTTACTACAACTTATTGCAAGTTTTTTTACATTTTTTACATTGCTTTCTGTTAAGCTGGAAAAAATTTTGTGAGATAAATTTATTGTTCCTTATTAAAAGAGACGTTAGCTTCTAGTAAAAAATATAAAATAAAAACAAAACAGACAAAAAAACAAGAAAACAAAAAATAACAATAAAACAAAACTAAAAATAATAATAACAACGGAAGAACAGCTAAACAAGTAGCCAAAAGACGGCATATGAAGCAATAAGGTCACAGAACCTTTGATACCCTTTAATACCGTCTTTATTGAAATGAACGCTGTCAATACTTATACTGCCATCTTTCATATTTTGCTAAACATGTTTCCCAATTTTAACTCCGGCCATTAATGATATGTTTACCACACGGCCAAAACTACATTGACCTGTACGTACCCGTTTAGCAATAAATAATCGTAACAAAATAGTATGTTCTCGGGCCGTGGTAGAAATATATTTTAATTACTTCATTTTTATATGCGATAAAAAATAAATCGCTTACCAATAGTTGTAATCACCGTTACAGCATATAGAAGACTACCGGAATAAGTCCATTTAGCACCCTCTTTTGAGTTGGGGTCAACACCATTCCATCCTTCAATATTAACAAGTTCATATGTATCGGTCTGAAAAACATGAACTTTACTTTCATTTAGAGAAAATATATACGGAGAATTGGACACAGTTTTTTGCATCTTAGCATGAAGAGATTTACTCGTATTGGCGATAAACTTTTTGCTTTCAATATTGAAGATTTCTTCGATGAAATCGAGCATACCTGAGATATAATTTAGAGCGTTAATTGTCTGATTATTTTGGTTTCGAAAATCTGTTGTGTTTATCGTCTGCTGCTGAGAATTATGTAACTGGGTGGTAAACTGTTTCTTGAAATTTTCTATATTTGTATTTATTTCGTATTGAATATCTTCTGATAATTTCGATTGAAAACTTTCAGAATACTCTGTAAAGGAGGTAAAAACATCTTTATTGATTGCTTCAGATAGGTCTTCCCTTAAATCTAACGCCTTTTGTTCAACTTTCGCTTCGTTAGCCTCCTCAAGAGCACGGAATAAAAATCCTCCTAATATAGAATATCCGATCACAATGCAGGTGAGTCCAACGTATGACAACATATAAACTAATGTTATTTTGATGCAGTTGATAGTCTTCTCCTTACAATTAGCACGGTGTTTTATTCGAGGACGTCTTTTCTCAACATGTTTTTCCTCACAGTATTCATCCGCAAACTGTTCCGGTTCAGCTATTGCAGCACACAATGTTGAACTCTCAATTAGACTTTCAACTGCTCCATCAATCCCTTTGCAAACATTGTCCGTGTCTGTTTCCGCTGACATTGCTAACCTGAAAATAATTTTAAAGATATATTAATATATGTTCACAAACAGAACAAATTATCTGTATTGGTTTCGATACTAGTATTATTTAATTAACCTTCATAGAAATGACTTAAACAAGTTCTGTGGTTAATCATTAACTTCACAATTTATCTCTTTGCCTTTTCAAATGCCAATATCCTCGAAACGTTACAATGTAACAGGATGTCGATATTTGAAGTACTGCTGCGATTACTATTGAATAAATACGTTAATAATTCAATGACATGCATCCGATGCGAATTTATTAGAATACTTTATATCTAGATATCTTTTGAAAGATGAATTACTTCCGTACACATAAAAGTCTATTATCATGAAGTATGTCAATTGTCCTCATATAACAATGCAACTATACTAAAACAGAAATAAAGAAACAAATATTCAACATTGTAGCATGCGTAAACTATCTTGAAAAAGAGTAACGATTCGAAAGTACGGGGGAGAAGTAGAAAAATTGAACTTGATAAGCAACAGAGGTAAAACCTGACTCATTTTACACGATATCAGTGAGAACAAAATCGACTTTCTATTTTTAATCTTAAGGATTTTTTTCAATTAAGATAATCAATTAAAAATCAGAATTAAAACTTAATTTAACACAAATACTTATTTTCAATTTTCCTTTTTGCAATATGTGTGAGAAATTCAATTAATTTACAGTGCATGCTGTCTTATAACTAATATTTATAGCATATTACTAAGTATATACATGGAATATTTGTTCTTAAGTATTAATGAAGGAAAGTTGTAAATGATAAATAATAACATGAATTGTCTGTTCTGTAATATTTTATCAATGCAAACATAACATCACATGTGTTACTTTCCCTTGATTATATTACATGTATGCTATATCAATATTTTATATCAATTAGTTAAAAAGGGCATTGATTTATAATAAAAGTTGTAAAACCGAAAACAAAAACATGTAATATCCAACTCCGGTTGCTCGATAAATATATAAATCCGAATTTCAAAGTCTCTTAACCTGCCGGAACCGAAAGAGACTGTCCTTTGATACCAGTATAGAACCAGGCAAGCATGTACATCTGTGCATCTTAACCAGGCCGTATCTTGTTGGTTGCTCATGTTTTATATGATTTTATGGTGAACTTCGAATAGACTGTACAAAGACCAAAACTAGGCATATCCGTTATAAGAATTAAAATTAAGAATGTTAAGGATTATAGGGATGTAGAAACAGATTTTAACTGATATGACACTGATACAAAATAGTATACTTTACCAAATTCCGACAAAATATTGCATCAGAATTACACAACAGGGTATAGTGTAGGAGCGTTTAAATTAGATTTAACTAGATAATCAGATTAATATAATTTCATTTTGATGCAGCCTATAAGAGTAATCCCAATGCGAACATATTCTGCTGTAACTTCGTATTTTTGCTGAAGATAATTATTTTCCTGCATATACATCAAAACAATCTCCTCATTTACAAGTAATACATGTTTGTGGATGTCACGTAATAAAAAAATGTATTTTCCATGTACGTGCACAATTAAGGAATAAATCCTTTATAAATGTGTGAAATAAAAAATAGTAACTGAAAATATGAATTAGGTAAAGAGTGTGTACAATGTTTTTAAATATCAATTTATATTTTATCTACAAATATCTCATTAAAACATTAATTCATTAATCATATTTTCACTCATAAATCGTTTTTAACAACAAAAAAGTACCCAACATTTTTAAAAAGAATATATGTCTAACCCTTTATAAATATTTCTATCTTACATTTTATTAGAAAAAAGACACTTACCGAAATGTGTATGCAAATTTGATTTACACAGATGTTAACATGTCTAAGCGAACATTATCAAATTCCATCTATAATGCCTCCTAAGCTGTAATATTTTCCCAATATCTAAGTTCCATGCTACCATTCAATCAAGCAATACAGCTTTGCCTCAAAAGCAAAATGATATCCATTTCAAATGAGAACATATATTTCACCTTTATATACTAATAGATTTCACTATCAATCAAATCGCCAGTTAACCCATTCAACAAGAAACTATTCCCAAGTTTGCCTTTAATACAAATTATTCCGTATTACAGCGATCACAAAGCACCGTATATAATATCCATTTATATTTTTGATTGCATCAATCATTCCAGCTAATGACATTATAGCGTGTTTGCTTGTAGTGCACCATCCTATGCCAGTTCATTGAATTATTGAAAAAAAATGTTAACAAAAATTGATATCGTGAGGCATCGGATGATATGCTGTCTTGCATTTCATACAGTGCCACCGTAAAGTGACTGCAGTGGAAATAAAAGCAATACCGGTCTATCAAATTCGCTTTCTTTATCTACCATAGCTTCTGCATTATCTAGCTATATTGTAGCTATACTTATTAAAACTATGTTTACCTTTTCATTATATTGTCTTATTTCTACTGCTAATAAGTTATCGGATATTTGGATTAATCGTAATATCTATATTGTCTAGCTTATACGGGCATAATTGCACCATCCGAATTGATTATTCTCTATAAATATCATTGCTTTTGTTTGTTTTGGGTTTTACGTCACATCGACACAGCATAGGTCATATCGCGACGTTCCAGCTTTACTGGTGGATGAAGACCATACATTATTTCAGGCACGAACGGGCACCTGAGTAGAACCACCGACGTTCCGTAAGCTAGCTGGATAGCTTCCTCACATGAAAGACTCCAAGTCCCTGTCGGGATTCGAACCCACAGCGGTGAGGGGCAAGTGGTTTGAAGTCAACGACCTTAACCACTCGGCCACGGACGCCCCTTAAATATCATTGCATTGATAACGTATATCTAATGCTTCACTAAAGTCGACATCGTGCATTTTTTGCGTATAAAGTATTAATCACTTTGTAGCTGTGCACTGTCAAAATTAAAAGATATCAATTCATATCTAAAATCATCACTTTCTGCATTTCAATTTACTCTTTTGCAGTAATCGGTTGTATACAAAATACAGCTACTCAAGAACAATACCAATGGTAGTTTATCAAAATCCAGCAATACAAATCTTAAGTTAAAAAAAGGATACATGTATTATTTCATCGATTTCATCGCAAAGCTTCAATGAGCTTACAAAGTTAAAGCGCATAAACATGATTTATTTCATTTTGTTTTTTTTTTTCTATGAAAGATGAAATTTCTTTGCATTACGCCTAATCGCTTTAATCTCGATGCACAGTCGTTAACATTACTCATAACCAACCGAGTTCGGTTGCTAGGACTGATTGCCTGATTTTGTTTGTATTTGGTTTTACAGCGTACCGACACAGTTTAAGTCATATGTGGCCGGAAGAGGAAATATGATTTTGGCTAACCTCGGACGTTATGCCAATGATCAAAACTTATTTAAAACGTGTTGAAAGAACTAAGTCTGAACTTCTGTTCTTGGACAAATAATAAGCGCTTTTCTATTTATATTAGAGATACATGTAAGAGGTCACATCAGGCATAAATTATTATACTCGACCTGATGCATTGCATATATTTTAAAAACTGTATGCTAGTATACAGTTTACACATTACGATCTTGCTGAAAAAATCCAATGGCTTAGATATTAGAACAGACATTACATAAAAAAACTATTGCCTTATTACGCTCGTGTTTGCTTTATAGGCGAAACTTTTTAATCAAGAAATTTGCTGATTAAACTCATGAATTTCGTGTAGGAAAAATGATTTCATCTTGCATGCGGTAAAGTCATACCATACCTATTGAATAAAATAGTTACATTTTACCACGATTATCATCATAGAATAGCCAGATCAAGCTTGCACCAGATATCAATAGTTACACCCAACAGATATAATTGATTGTCACAAAAATCTCTCTCCGGATCACCGCACAAATTACAATTCTTTCTGGCTATGTGCTTTATACCTGTAATAAAAGATGAGAATTAAATGATTAAAACCCAAAGCGATTCTAGATTAAAAACCGTAGGCCTGGACAAAAGAGCAAATTAATGATATCGTCATTTTAATAGGAAAAAAGTTGTTTCACCATGTTAACTGTAGTACGGAATAAATAAATGCTACGCGTATAAATTGAATTGTATGCTTAAATGATAAAACTAAAAGAAAGACACAGGGCAATGAAGGTCGAACGTCCTAGTTTCACTTTTTCGTTACCAATCAAATTAAAAATCATTCTTTTGTAATTCACAAGTTAGAATAAAAAAAAACATAACCTCATTTAAATTGAAGCATTGATGGATTATACGACGAACATCCCTATAAACAGTTATAAGGCAATACCATACAAATTGAATATTGCGTGAAATGTAGTAATTAACAAAGTTCGGGGCAAAGTTTTCACATATTTGTCTGCGGAGGGATATCATTAAATGATAACTGTTACATGTATTACTAATAATTTTTATTGATTGACATATAAGATGCTAAAAACACTATAAAACCTCACAATCTAAATCTTCCTTCAAAAGGTTCCTTTATATGGACGCTGGTCATTGGCTTCAAATAAAAATAAAATATTCTGTGCCACTGGCGCAAGAGATTACATTGCATATAGAAATAACAGTATTGTTTTCTAGCTATGATTAATATAAAGGATTGATTTTTATGAATGCTAAAGAATAAATGTGTAAAGTTTTCTCATCCATAGAAAAAATTACTGTTATTATCTTTTAAAAAGGTACATGTTAATAAAAGATGACGATGATGATAATTATTAAAATTTGACCAAATTCGTATAAACACTTTCTCTATATTATAAAACTTACTACATTGCAAATTCATATTTACTGCAACATGGGGAAAGTACACATTAAGATTATAAACCAGGTATAGAATGTTCCAGTGACAGTTTTCAAGAGAAATTTATTGCCACATCCGGCATCGATATAGGACATTTTTGTTTATCGGAATTTTCAACATTAACTATTATCAATATTAGGTACCAATTACGTTAAATCATTCATGTGATATCAGTAAGTTTCCTCCTACGCAACATCTTAGAGATACCCACGCCCCTTATTTTTTCCAATGACACTTAACACAAAAATGCAATTATGTAAATAAATAAGTACAGAATTATCATCTTAATGATAAACAGTTATCCTTGAATAAAGATAAAAGCTGTATCTTATAATCAGGAAATGCCCGTTGTTGGTATAAACGCATGTAGGGTTGTGACTGCCCGATTGCTTACAACCGCTGTGGGTTCGAGCCAGGGACTTCGGATGTTTTTCATGTGGGGAATATCCAGCTAGCTTAATATACGGAACATCGTTGAAATAATGCACCGAAGGGCATCTGAGGTCTTTACTACCAGTAAAGCTTGAAATTATCATATGACCTATACTGCGTTGGTGTGAGGTAAAACCCAAAACAAATTAATTTTAAAGGAAAATTATACTCATATTTTCAGTTCAGTGTCAAACTGAGCGGAGTTAGCTATATATTTTAAAAGATTGGCTATTATAATGGTGACTGACAAACAGTTGATATAAGAAAATGTTTACTCATAATTTAGGATAAAATATTAGTCGTCTAAAATATAAAAAAAAGATTGCCCAACTCTTTTTCATGAATTAAAAGTTGCAGATAAATTCCAATGCCTATTTACAGAATTTTCCACAAGCAACGTCAGTAATTTAACGTACATGCAAGTAATACTAGTAAAACTATAAAATGGAAAGGAATTATTGAAAAATGTTAAACTTATTTGAATTTCATTTGTTTACATACTGTAAACCCTTGGATGGGCATAATGTCACTGTACTTAAAATTCTTAAAGCTTTTCTGTATCTGTTTCCTATATAAGGCATACTTTTAAGTCATACCCATAATCTAATTTACCGGACAATGTGATATGATCAATACAAACTTCTTTAAATCTGTATCAATCATTCTTATGAGACGGTGCTATACAGTCGGAAACGAGTTATAATGTCGTTACAACGGTAATTTATTCGCAATTATTCCGGTGCTCTGAGGTGCCTTAGTTTAAATAGGTGATAATGACTACATTATTCCTTGGATGATTTATTGGTCATGGCAACATCACTTCTAGTTGTCACCATACAATGTGTATCAATAAAATAAAATACAAATTATTCCAAAGATCTATTATGTTGGAACTTGTTAATGAAATCCAATAAAACAGTAACGTTTCAAGAACACTGCCTCGCGTCCCATTAAATTCTACATCAAACAGCTCAAACATAGGATAACACACACATAACAATTGTCTTGATTGGGTTTGTTGTGTTATTGTGGTTTACAAAGAAATTTGTTCTTACACTTTAAGAAATAATTTCAAATTAACTTTCTAAGCAGATGACTTTTACACGATCAGAATCAGAACCTCTCTTATGATTTGCTTTGTATATCAAATCAATTAGAATATTAACTTTGTCATCAACATTTTTGTGAAGAACCCGAATTGTGCACATAACAGATATGGACAAACAGCTGGCACAAAGAAATTTGGCAATCACAAAACAAATGTATACTTTTATAAAATGTAAGAACCTTTAGTTTTATTGAGACATTTGAGTTCGAATTGTCATTATAGATTTTGCGTTTTTTGCAATTGTTTTCCTGTTGTGTATAAGAGATTTTGAGTTTTATATCACTAGAATAGATTAATAAAGATAAATCCTCGGTGAATTCAATAAAGCCTACATCAGACTGAATAAAATGGGGAAAAAACACCTTCATACAAAAAAATGTCCTAAACGTGACTGACAGTTCTTTTGTTACAACACATCAGGCGGTCAGCAAAACAAATTTGCTACTCTCCAGAAACAAATTGTCGTTCGTGATTTACAACCGGCTGGTCTAGAGAACTTCCTTCTTTTACACCTTGGTTGATTTTTTAATTATTATTATTCCTATATTCATATTCCGCACATTCCTATAAACAGTTGTAGGTCAATACCAATAGAATATTATGGGAAATGAAATTGACGAAGGTTTCATAGGAGGCAATTTTCGGACAGATTTGTTTGCGGAGGGATGTCATCAAATGATTACATTTATTTCCAATATTTTTTTAACATTTGGCATATTAGGTGTTATTAACACTGTAAAACAGTACAATCTAATCAATGTAACCTTAATCTGTATTAAAAAGTTCCAAATATACTGGACGTTGATTATTGTTAATGGTTCTCACTACGGTTAGTTGACTCTGGCAATAGCTTCTGTGGTGTACAATGCAGGTCAAACCGATAACATAATTGTTTTATAGTTACAGTTAGTAATGAACTTCAATGTATTTTACGGAAAATCTAATGTTTAAGTTTTCTCATCCGTAGAAAAGTATAAGGTAAACTGTAAAGTAAAACCAAAAAGTAAATAATTATAATAATAATAATAATAATAATAATAAGAAGAAGAAGAAGAAGAAGAAGAAGAAGAAGAAAAATGGTTATTATTATTTGATCAAATTTGTATGTA